GGGGGCTGAGCTGGTCCCCTGTAGCCTGGAGGACTCCGTTTGGGCTCCCCTTCCTTCCCTGCTGCCTTGCTGTGAGAGCCCCCCCCCAGCCCACACAGACACCCCCCTACCCCCAAAAAACCAACACTGACAAAGCGCCCGTTCCTATTTCACTCTCTTTATTATTTATCATTCTTTCAAAATAGGATATGTTCAAAAATATAAATAGGTGCAGGGAACGCTGGTGCCCCGCACGGTCCCCTGGAAAGAACAGGTTGTCCCGGAACGGGTGCTGCGCCGCAGGGGGGGCAGCGGGGAAGCAGAGAGGGGCCGCAGCCCCCAGTGCCTGGGTCCTGGCTCTCAGCATCCCCTCGCCTCCCTCCTCCCGCAGCTCCTTCCACCGCAGCCCCCCGGCCCTCCCCACCCACCCTGACGCGCTGCAGCAGTAGGAGGATTCTGGAAAAAAAAAAATAAAATAAGACCCCAAAAGGTGCTGTTCACCCCGGAGATTAAATAACAGAAATAATTACATTGTTCGTGGATAAAATCAGGAAAAAATAATCATCTTTATTATTTAACTTAACCCCCTGCCCTCTGCAAACCCACCCCCCTCCCTGTCCCCAAAGGCACGAAGATAATTGGAACCGGACGGTTAGTAAAAATGCTGAGATCTAATTTGCTTTGCTTTGGTGCTTGGAAAAAAACCATTAATTTTTCTTTTATATATATACACAAAGGTGGGTTTGTCTTTAATATATTTTTTTTTTCCTTATATGACAAAAAAGCAACAAGAAGAAGAAGAAATCGACTCTGTTAATATAACTGTTCTGTTAAAAATCTCTCTTTCGCTTTCCCCCTCGGTCTCTCTGGCCCCGCTCTAATGGGTGGGTCTGTGCACGGCTCTGCCGCTGGGTCTCGACCGGCTCCTGGGGCTCCTCTTGTATAGCCTGCGCTGGTAGTTGGAGGCTGCGGAAGAGGCAGGAGAAGAAAAGGCACCTTGTTAGCAGGAGCCAGGACAGAGACGCTGCTTGTCCCATGCTGGCTGCCCCGGCCCCTGGCTCCCTGGAAAAACACGGGCAGCCGCAGGCAGCGCTGCCCGGTGAGCGGCGGTGTGTGCCCCGGCGCCAGCCTGCTCGCCCCTGCACAATCGGCCCTTCTCTCGCCCCGCAGTTGGGGTTTGCTTCGCCCAGGGGTGAAGGTGCCCGGGTGCCTCCCCTGGGCAGGAGCATCCTCTCTGTGGATGCTTGTCCCATCCCTTCCCTGCGCTTGGCTGGGAGAGCACACAGGGTGGGCACGGGGACCGCTTCCTCATCCCCCCCACTGCCCCGCCAGTCCCACCCCAACCCCCTGGGACAGCGAGGGAAATCTCTATCACCAGTGGGATGTGCTCAGGGCACAGGAGGGGAAACAGCACTGTCTGGTTGGCAGGGACAAGGGGGGCATTGCCTGATCTTTGCTGCCAGTCTCCCTCAAAGCTGGCAGCAGTCTGGTGAGATAATTGCAGGAGGGTTTTGATGGAAGAAGCAAAAGCTGCCTGGGAACAGCCCAGGTCTGTCGGTTGCTGGTGGTCTGTGCTGGGAGCAGCCTGCAGTTCTCCAGGCCCATGGCAGAGCCAAGGGAGTCAGCAGCTTGGTTCACACCATGAGGCCTCCCTCACCCTTGGACACCTCCTCCATCCCTCCTCCTTCCGTCTCCTCCCTGGGGCGGAGGTTTGTCCCTTAAGCCCTTATCGACTTTCCCTGGCCATGAGATTGTTGCTCTAGCTGGAGTTTCCCAGCTGGCCTAGAGCCGGGCAAGGAGGCCACTGGACAGATGCGATTTGGCTGAGGCTGATGAAATTATTGGGAAGCTGCAGGCAAGCAGAGATGGGAGAGGGGTGTAGGCTGGGACACGGGTGGGAGAGGGCTGGCTGCCATCAGCTGGAGCCCTGATAGGAGAAGGGTCAGGAGCCCAGCCCTGTGCCTTGGCTTAGCTCTGCCGCAGGGCTCCTGCCCGCTCCCAGGGCAGGGCGATGCCGGGGAAGGGCTCCGGCGGACCACAGCTCCCCCCTCCTATTCTCTCTGCTGATGCAGGTGGTGCCAAAACTCACCCTTTCAGAAGCCGTTGCTTTTTCTTTCCTTTCTTTAAGTAGCCTGGGCCCTTGGTAAGCTCCCTGTTGCCCTCTCCTGGCTCTGGAGCTGCCCCTGCCCTGCCTAGGTGGAGGAACCTCCAGGGCAGGAATAGCCCAGGCTGTCCCTCAGCCAGTCCCTGTGGTCCACACCTGCCCAGAAGATGCCACCTCCCATGGCCTCATCATGGAGCAGCTTTCAACAAGTTAAAGGGACCATGAGGTCTCCTTCTGCCTGGCTCGGAGCTAACCTGCATCCTAAGGCAATGCCCCCCTCATTCCCAGCTCCTTCTCCCAGCTGCAGGGATGCATCAGCCCTATCCCAAAGGCGAAGGGGCCAAGACGTACGGTTTATGCAAGATATCCGTGGCTCCTCCCACTGCCCGTTGGGCTGGCACCGAATCGTGGGCACGTGGCGCTGGATGTAGCCTTGGTTGCACTGGTACCGCACCATGGAGTTTATTTCATAGCGGTCCTTCTTCCGACCAAAGGTCCTGGCGTTCTCCACCACGGGGGGGTCCCCGCAGGCCACTGCAGGAGATGGGAAGAGACATGGAGAGCTCGAGGAGTCGTGCCTGGCTGAGCGGGCACCTCACACCCGGGCAGCTCCTGCCTGCCTGGCGCAGGCTGGGCACGCACAGCCTCATCACCCTGCTTCTCCTGCACCCTGGCTCTCTGGGTGCTGGAGAGAGGGAGTGTGCAGTGGCTGCTTGAAAGGTGGCCACTTCTGGGGTGGAAAGAGGCAGCCGTGTCCACAGCCATCCTTGCCCAGCCCTGAGGTGCAGTGGGAGCGATGCCCTCCCCTGTTATTGCCCTTTTGGAGTAACATCTCTGATCTAGAAGGTATCTGGGTCCTGTCTGGGCAGATGCTGTCACCTGAGCCTGCTGGACTTTTTTTGCTATGCCCACAGAGGGATGGTTCCTTTGTTTGGAGGGGGGACGACAGACTGAGGCAATACAAAAAAGGGACAGTTGATTAAAAAGTTCATAAAACCTTATAATCCCTTTGAGATTGCCTCTGTCCACAAAATTTAGGGATGGGAGAATGGCACACTCTGTGATGGACCTTGAAATTAAGCAGCGGTCTGCCTCGGGGGCTCCATTCCTGCCTCCTGGAGAGGCAGTGGGAGCTGGGCATTGCACCATCCACTGGCACCTGTGGGAGGGCATGGAGCTGGTGTGTGGGAGCGATGCTGCAGCCAGGGTGCTGCTCTGCCTGGGGACACGAAGCCCTGGCCCTGCCTTCAGCCCCACAGCCACTGCCTAAGCCCCCCCATCCTTGCTGGCACGGTGCAGGGTGCTGACCTGTTCCTTTCTTGCAGGTGAAAGGGAGGTGATAGTTGCAGGGAACGTCATTCCATTCGCCTTGCTCGTGCCAGATCATCACAACGCAGTCCTCACCCGCTGAGAAGAAGTTATCGGGTTGGTTGGGCCGCCAGTTCTCAAATTGCTGCCGAGAGAGGAAAGCCCTTCACCTAAGGCTGAGCCCTCACTCCTCCTCCCTCCTTCATCCCTGCTGCTGCCTGTGCAGCTCACCACCAGAGACCATGCGTTGCCAGCACTGCTACTACAGCAGTTACTTCTATTGGGATGGTGACCAGGAGCTTAGCTGACCAGCTTTACCAGAGGTTTGGAAAATCCATGAGCCCTACAAAGTTTAGGGCTGCCTCCACTCAACGCCCAGCCCAAGCACTCAGCACATAACTCATGGAGCTCTTTCCACCCAAGGGGAACCTCTTCCCCCCCCTGAAAAACCGTGCCCTGGGCTGCAGGCTTACCAGGGAGTGCCCGTCGGACCAACGGAAGTCGTTCTCCACGGCTCTGTCACTGAGCCCGATCCACTGGTAGTCCTGTGCGTGGCCTGGAAGAGCCAGAGGGGGAGAGAAGAGTGGGTCATGGTTCCCCTACACCTTGCTGGAGGTGTTTCTTTGCCATCTCAGCTGACTGTGGCCCTGGAGCCTTTGGGTCATTTGGCTCCTTCCCAGTCACTAGCTGCTCATGTCCTTTTTTCCCTCCCTCATATTTGTCCGTCTCCCTCCCCACTCAGCATGCCATGAGCATGGATCCACCCACGCTGGCACGAATCACTGCGCTTGTTGCAGCAAGTGAACATCTCGTGAGCAAGACACACCAGAAATGCGGTAAAAGCAAAGAACTGTCTTAGCCGAGAAAGGGCCCACTTCTGTCTCATGGCTGGATGGTTCTTCCTCTCCCACGCAAGGGTGAGGCCTTGTTAGGAAATATCTGAGCACCAGTGGGGGAAATTGTGGTTTTTACATCATTTTGGATAAATCTGCCTGTAGACTCAGAGTCCATCGGATGGACCTCTGCCCAGTCTCAGGCTGCCCTCAGCACTCACTGTTCACAAATTCTTGCTCCTCTGGGGTGATGATACTGCTCAGGTGGGCTTGATGTTGTCGGCATCTGGTCTCTGCATCCATCCAAGTCTCCCTCTCTTCAAAGTGCCTGTAGCAGTGGCCCTGGAACTTGGTCCAGCCTTCCTCACAGTTTTCCAGGTCTGAAACACACAAAGGAGGGATGAACAGGAGTTGATGCTTGGGTCTGGAAGCCTTCCAACTCACCTCTTAGCAGCTCATGCTCTCATGGCATGGAACAACATGTGGTCACTTCCACTAAAAAGCAAACTCTGACACTGTTGCCTGTGGGAAATCCCAGGGAAAATGATCAGAATGCATCCAAGACACAGGCAGAGAGGGGAGCTTGTGTTGAAGACCCCCTGTTTGCAGCAGTCTGACCAGTGCTACTAGAAAGCTTGAGTCATACAAACTTACTCGTGAGCAATTCAATCCCTGTGTCATGTTCCTGGACTCTGTTTTTGAGGAACTGACCAAGGAAGAACCCTTCTCTTCCCACTTATGCTGGCCTGTAGAGTTTTCTTGCTTTGGAAAGAAGCTCCAAAACCTGAATCCAGATGCCCAGAATCAGCATGTATGTGTTGAAAAGGAAAGAGGGGAGGAGAACGCAGTGTTGGGTGGTTGCATTGCTTGGTGTGGTTCTGGGGCTCTGGAGGAGAAGCAAGCCTACAGAGGTGGGAGAAAAGAGCCGGGGGCCTGAACTTACCATGGCAGAGAGAGAAAATGAAATCTCAAGGAAAGGACTTGGAAGCTGCTAGAAAAGTACAAAAATTTCTCAACTTTTCAGAACATCTTTTACCATCTGAGAAACACTGAAGAATTGAACCCATTAATTAAAAAAAAAAGAAACCACAGATGAGCAGAGGCAAATGGAGAAACCACCAGAAAAGGCCTCAGCAGCTCCTGTGCAATGCAACACCACACATCTGCTACATGTGACCGAAGGAAACAGAAAATGCAACGTATTTAATTTCAGCCCTTAAGCCGCCTGATCTACCATGCTTCCTCAGGCACTTGCTGGTCTTGGAGTGGTGGGCTTTCATGAGTCCTCATGCCTCTCTCCCTTTCCAGGAAGGTTTTCTGTACTCAGTTTCTTTCTTCTGTTGTTAAACTTGGTAGGTCAAACCACTTGTCACCTTCCATCACACTAATTCCTCCCAATCCACCCTTCTGGTGTTCTTCCATCTGGAGACTACAGATGCTTCATAGATGTTGGAAGGGTTGCTAGTTGAGGCATTAAAAACATTTTCTGCCTTCTTCAACAGATCAAATGGATTATCTGGAAGTAGCTGAAGCTCTAAGGATTCTTGGTCTTTGCAGGCAGGTCGCTTGCACAAGGTGAGCAGAGAGCTCTGTCTTTTGAGATTTAAGACTTTTTTCCAGCTGCTTGAACACCACCGCTTGTCATCACAGGCTGGGGTGGGGCAACACATGGCACAGAACCTCAGCAGGACTGTTACTTAACAGGAAATATGACAGCAATTGTCTTGGAAAAGAATGACGAAAAGCTTGCTCCCTGGTAGCGACGCTGTCATGATGACAAGGATTGGCTGTGTGCACAGAGGTGGCACAGCTGTCCTGCTGTTCTTGGAGACCAAGAGATGTTATAGAAAGGAAGGTTTCTTCATTATAATAATCAAGATTTACATTCACCGCTGAATTCCGGGCATTGGCTTCCTCTTGCATCTCCCAGGCTATGGCCCCCACCATCATGAGACCATAAATCATAGAAAATAGGAAAGTAATTCTGGCTTGGACCAAACAAGATAGCAAGCAGCCACAGGGTAGACAGTCTCTTGTCCTGCTACAGGGATCTTCAACAAGAGGTAGCAGGGATGGGTAAATCAGGGGCTGATTAGGCTGCATTGGGAAAGTGATGTTAAGAGAGATGACCCAACGATCCTGAGCCTTCCTCTTATGGACTACTCCATACATTCATGTTGGAAGCAGAAAGAGAGATGCAGAGAAAGGGGAGCACAAAGTCCAATGTAGAGTATCGTTACTCAGGCCAAGGTGAAGAAGACACTGCAACCTTATTCCTCTTTTGTTTGAGCAAGGCAGGAGAGCTTCCTCTCAGCTAAGCTGATAAAAGTTTGGACTTTCATCAGCTTTAAGAAAAAAAATATCCTTTTTTTCTTTCCTTGTAGAAACAAAAAGAAGTATTAGTGCAGGTCATAGTACCTAATTTTGATGGAAAAATAGGTCACTTCACGTTTTCTCAAAGATATACATCCCCTGCTGATTTTGCCACAGGAAGCCACATTGAAGAGGTGACAAAAATGTTGTGCTGTGTCAAATCAGTGGAGATTCCTGGAGTGAATGAGGCTTCTCTCAGCTGTATCTTCACAGAGGGAAACACAATAATTTTTCACGGCTCAGTTGAAGCATCCTTCCATGAAATTGCAGTCTAGCAGAGAAAGTTTGCCTGGGGTGAAGATGTACTCAGATGTTTCCCTACTGTTACAGATGAACAGAAGACTCTTGACCCAAAGAGACAGCGTCTTCTGTGATCAACACCATTATAACCTGTATGGAGCTTCACTAGAGAAACTTAACAAAAAAGAGAAAGCTAAAGAAGACACCAGAAGCTCCTGCTTAGGAATCTTAGAGGACATCGTGCTGTGATCAACAAAGTAATCAAAATACATAAGCAAAAGTCTCAAGGCTTTTCCCTAGTGTATTTTAAGCTGCTGTTAGATGTTAGCTTACTGAGATGAGGGCAGGATCAATGGGAGCACTTTGGGATCAGCTTTTTTTGGGGGGTAGGGTGTGAACGAAGTAGTGCAGCAGTTAGTAAGATTAGCTGAAGCCAGGTAGGCCGTACCGATCTCACACAGGTCCCCTCCGTAGCTGGGAAGGCATAAGCATTTGAAAGAGTCGATGCCATCAACGCAGGTAGCTCCATTCAGACAGGGGCTTGAGTAGCACTCATCAGTGTCTGCAAGAAATCAAGGGCTTCCATTAGGGCTCTGGGCAGACAACTCCACAGGAAAACAGGAGAACTTGTTTCCTTGCTCGTTTAGGAGGGAATATCAGTTGTTTTGGGGGAACCTAGGAGTTGCTAGGGTCTTACTTTAAAATATACTGCCACTGCTGCTGCTGGAAGAATGAAGGGAAGACACCCAACCCACCCAACAAGGAAGGCATTGGTTTTCTGTCATTTGATGGTTGAAGACCACTCTGAAGATATCAGTGCAAGCTCGGCAAGATGTATCCAATACACAGCATTCAGTGTCTTTGACAGCTGTGGTAGCTCTTCCTTGTCCACTGTCTCTGCCGGACGGATCAAACATGCTAACTTGCGTCTGTGCCTCCACCAGCTATGGGTCTATGAGGAAGAACGTGGAATTCTCATAAGTGATGGAAACATCCTGAAATAGACCTCTAGCTCCTAACTGGCCTTCCTGGGGCCAGTGCTCACTACTAGTTTCTTCCTAACTATAATTCAGATGAAGTCTTGGGGCAAGAAATCTCTTCTTCAGATGAAAAGACTGGAGAAGAAAAGAAGTGGGTTCAAGGGTGGTTCAGAGACCCCCAAGTTTTTCCCTTTGAGGATCTTAGGCCTAGCTATCGGTGCCTCTTCCTTGGTGAAGAATATTGGAGTGCAGTGCCATTTTCTCCAGATCTGTCCCCACTATGCTCTCTCTTGCTTGTGATGGGGCTGGAAGAAGTTGCATGTCTTTTCCAGCTGTGTATTCCCTCCTGGTGGAGGAAACTACTCCTGGTTTCCCACCTAGAGCAGCCCTTAAGATTCTTTCTGTTTTTCTGGAGTTGAAAAGAGAAGTCAGTATGGGAAGAGTTTGGCCCCCAGCTCTCCAGTGTTTTTCAGCTTGTTAATTAGCACAAGCCTAGGTAGTACTTCCATCCCCTGTAATCTTGGGGCAGAAGGAAGGAAGCATGGATGCTCTGTGAAAGGCCACAGGTAGCCAGTTTGTGTCTATATATTGTAGAATCTAGCTTGTGCTGGAAGTAAAAGCTCTTCTCCCAGTAACTCTCCAGACTGAGCCTTAATTTGACTTATTGTGCTTTGGAATCAGAAGAAAAATAATTCAGAAGGCAAAGATTTCAGAGACGTTCAACTCAAGAAATAAGGAAGAAGACTAGGGAAGAAAGTGGGAGCACATCCATGCAGGTTAGGTTAAATGATGACTGGTTAGATCCCCATGCAAGATGTTTCTCTCTTTCATGCTCAGAACAAATGTAAGGCTTTAAAAGTGCTCACTAACACTCCATGCTCTCCTTGTGGATGAGAGGGGTTAGTGAGGAAACATTCAGACATGATAAGCATGCTGGCTACAGGAATACCAGAGCAGAACAGTGACTCCCCAAGGTCTGTGCTCATCTTCTGATTGGGGTATATTCAGTCGGACACTTGTTTCCCTGCAGAACTGTGGTCCAGCTGCTCAGTGTCCCCAGACATATGAGAGCAGATGCATATTTTATCCCATGTGGCTGTCTAGTTGCTCAGTGGCCAATGTCTGATATGTCAACTAAAAGTTGACGTGTTCTGTAACGTGCCTAAGTGATGCCAAAAATTCTTCCTGACCTTGGAATAGTAAATCATTTCGTGCTTTGGAGCATGAAGGTTGTCATCTTTATTCTAGGCTGTATCATTGTGAGCAATGAAATTATTCCTCAGACGGTTGATGAACATCTTACACCAGTTTTGCAGTTAGTTCTTCACCGATACAAGGATTTTTTCCCTCTCAATTGCCCTTCTAAATACTCATGAATGCTTTCTGGATTTCTTTGTTCAGTGCAACATGAAGAGAATTGGAGATCCTGTTTCCATGACACTAATAAATACTTTCCAGAACAAAATGGGGGTTGTGGGCCTAATAGAAGTGAAGAGTTGAACTTGGCTGGCTATTGCTCATTAGTCACACTTGGAGTTCCTAGAAGATAGAAAGCATAAAGGAAAATGAGGTATCCTGAGGGATGATTACAACTCTAGAAGCCCTCTGGGATTCCCAACAGCAGTGGCAGCACAAAGTCGTGTTGATTCCAGTGGGCTCCAGCTGACCAAGTGAGGAAAGGCTCTCCTTTGTCCATTAGGCTCCATGAAGTGGGAAGCACACTGCAGAAGTGGGAGAAAAGCACATACGAGAGCTAAAGCAGACTGTTTAGCAGGGAATAATGAGTC